ATATATATATATATCTGTATCGCACATGTTGATACAATGAAGAAAGCTTCACTGCCCGCCTGCATTGGCATGTCATGGGGTCAGGCCATGCCCCAAACCAGGCAAGCTGAACCAGTGAAGTCAATATGGTGCTTGAGGCCCGTTAGAGGTAGGTTGGAAAAAAAGCCCCCCCAGCTGGAAAGTGAGCATGAGGGGCCTGTTTGGGGTATGAACAAAGCCCCGCCCAGGTTTAAGGCACCGTTATTCGATATCCAGACATCTTTGTGTTGATTATTGATTTGGCTGCGGATGCATGCGCAAGTGTGCGTTTGCGTGTGTCGGGTCGAAAAGACGATTCGACTCATCTCCAATCTCTGAAGAAAAAGGCACCCAAGAGGCCTAGAGGGGGCAGTTGGAGCTGCAGAAGCGCTGGCGAAATCAATTGGCCCGTCAAGCAGAGTGATAGGTCTGCTTGACCTTTCTTCGCCTGTTTAGGTAAATGCTCGCAGTCACGGCGGGTCAACTGCGCTTTTTATGGCGAGTGCAAACGGACACACGGGCATCGTACGTGCCTTGGCCTAGTTGCTAATAATTATTTGTGGCGGAGGCAAATTGTTTCAGGGACTGGGTCCCTTGTTGATTGCATACTGAACTGCTAGCAGGTTCCTCCAAGGCCACGCAGTTTCTCCCCCAAATGCCACGCCTCGGCCGAGGCGAGCTGCTGCAGGCGCGTGCATCGGCAGACTTGGCGAACGATGCTGGCAACTGTCCCTTGCACTGGGCGTCGGCCTGAGTGCCGACTAGCAGTGGTATTGCAGAGCAGCGGTCACAGTATAGCTGGATGACAGGCGGCACTCAATGGGCATTTGGAGGTTGTGAAGATGCTCATAGCAGCTCGCGCCAATGCCAACCTGAAGAATGAGTTTCAGAAAAGGTGCGGCTAATGTAGTTGACCGACAGCGGGAAGCGTGTTCTCTGTTCAACACAGGCCTTTCGATGAAGCCTTCAGCAGGAGCCGCTTATGCTATCATGCTCCGAGGAACCTCGCCGCGCACATGTTCTCGAGGAGCCATGCCGAGATTTGTGAGGCGCTCGCGACTGTCACATCATTCGAAGACGACGTGCCTGCAGATGCTGAGATGAGGGCCGGCGGGCTTATCGTGTGCATGGTTGAGTGAGGGTGTTTGCGAGTGGTTTGGCCCTTCCAGATGGACAGGAGGCGGAAGATGCAGAGGCGAGCGAAACAACCCGTGACAGACCTCCAAAGAATCAGCCGGAGGCGGCTTGATGTTCAGAGGGCAAAAGAGATCCAACTGTGCCCCGGAGCCAGGAACACCCTGCCATTTTGGGTATGGGCAATCCGCTCCTGGATATATTGGCAGTGGTGCCCGAGGACGGTTTGCCGAAGATGGCACCTGTTTCGGTTCCCAACTGAGCATGAAGAGGCAACGATGTAGAGTGCTTGCCAGGAGATGTTTGTCAGATACGACCTTGTTCGTGACAGTGCTATTCTGGCAGAGACGAAGCATGACCAGCTCTTTGAGGAGCTCGCTTCCTTACCAAATGTGCGCGTGCAAGAAGTCGTGCCGCGGACTGTGTTGCATGTGGCATAGGCATGCCTGCACATAAAATGAAGGTACAATTCCTCGCTGGCGGTGCAACCCTGAATTCCATTCGTGTGGCACAGTGGCTGCTGCAGGCTTCCTTCTCAGACGTTAATCCGATGCTAGCAGATGGCACCATGAAAGCGCGAGCCGGAGAGGAGCCGGGCATGACTGCTTACATGGGATGTATTGGGGCCGATGATTTCGGCGCGCGGCTGGCAGACGAGTGCAAGTCGGCAGGCATCGCTGCCAGGCCCACTAAAGCGACAAGCCTACAAGTCTAGTGCAAGTCTGGAATGTCTAGTCTGATGCCCAATCTGCTGCTTTGATTCCGAGAGGTTCCTAGTGGACAAAGATGCCCCCACGGGCACCTGTGCAGTCACAATCTTGGATGCGGAGCGCTCTCTCACGACTCGTCTCGGTGCGGCCAACAAGTACAAGCTCGACCATGTAAAGGATCCGGAGAGCACTCAACGCATTTGGTGTCCCTTCCCCTGCCAACCTGATAGCAACATGGCTAGTGTCGAAACATTGACATCTGAGTTGCATTGCAATGCATTCGATTGACCAGCGCACGTGGGGACCACATGTGAGTGCAAATAAGCAGCTGCAGTCATATTCAGAGACGGATCTTCGCAAAGGAATTTCGCCGTGCTCAAGTCTGCACGAATCGCCCCTTGGTTGAGAGCCCCGTGTCAGCCATCGTGTCAGCAGCGGAATCGTCAGCATCTACCCCCTTTTCGCATGGCAAGTGTCTCTGACGCCAAGATCTACAGCGCGGGCTTCTTCATCACAGTGTCTCCTGAGACCATCGACCTTGCATCACGAGTCAATCGGCTGATAGGTTTCCGAGCGAGGACTCACATGTAATTCGATCGCACAGGTAGTTTATGTATGAAGCTTATGTCGGTGCCAGCTGACGCTTCCAATCGTGTAAGGTCGCCGAAATGTCCGGTTCAATCTATTGCCTCAACTTGTCTGCAGCATTCATCGTTCAAGTCCCAGCCTATCGGGCTGTGCTGGAGAAATCGTTGCCGCACTGCGACATTCTCTTCGGCAACCAGGCAGTGTCCAGGCTGATGCATGGAACAGTGACAGAGAGCTTGGACGCAATCAACTGAGAGTCGGTGTACCCAGGAGGCACAAGCGTATGCAGAAGCAGCCGGTTGGGACTCTACGGATGTGGCTTTCATAGCCACAAGACTGTCCCCTGCTTTGCAATGGCTCAGACAAAGCCCTTTCGTCGAATCACGACTTCGCATGCAAACGGAGCAGGTCTTTGGTGCCAATGAGTGGAAAGAAGCCGCATCGCAAGGTTGTGATCACACAAGGCGTCTCGCCTTTCATGCTTGGGATCTGCTGTGTTTCGTCTTCCGTGCATTATTGTTAGGGAGAGTCTGTCCGCGTTCAGTTTACGGGAAGACTGTCATCCCGCGCCTGCTGCACGCCTGCTGCAATTGCTAGTAAGATTGGCATGTCGGAGCTCAGTCAGTCACGTAACCGTCTCCTTACACAGAGAGAGATGCTGCTCTGGGCAAGCGTCGCCGCGAAAGTACATATAAGACGTTGGTGAACAAGCTTAACGCCGCCACCAGAAGCAGTTGGTTTGAAGAGGAGCCGAACCCATTGTGGTGGCTGAACGTGGCCACGTGACCTACCACCCTGTTCCGCAACTGCGACCTGAAAAGACTCTTGAAGAGCAATAATTTAGGCCAGAGTTGTGCGATGCAACCGTACATACATCTAGTTATGAGTCCTCCATACAAGCAGGGGCAACACGTGGCATCAGGATTGTCGACACCAACGGTGCTGGTGATGCTTTCGTTGGCGGTTTCCTTGCAGCATTCGCTCGTGGACGAAGCCTATCTGATTGCTGCGAGGACTGGGGTTAACAGCTGGAAATGCTGGTAAAAGAGATGTGAATGTAAGTGACTGCGGGTTGCAGACCGGCGCCTATGCAGCAGCAACGGTGATCCAGCACTCCGGCTGCACCTTTCCGCCGGAGCCATCTCGCAGACCCTAGAGCAGAGGTTCAGAGCGGTTCAAAAAGGATTGTCTTCTCTCTGTGCTGAGACAAACACGTCACCGTCAACGCCAGGCTGTTAGTCGAAATGCTGCCAGATCGGCCCGAGTTTCCTCGAGAGTTGATCAAGCAGCAGGGTTTCCGTAACAAAGACTGTTCCTTTCTAGCAGTCGTGCCGATGATCCGCATGTGCCACATAATGCACGCAAGCAGCTACAGTAGCGACAACGTCAACGATGGCACTGCGCGGTGGCAGATCCATCATGCAGTCAGATGGAAGTGACATCTCAGAAGACGAGGACGGAGGGCTTGAAAGACTGGAAAAATGAACTCGGTATTCTCCCCAACATCTCGCAACGCTACACCTGAAGAGGGGTCGACCACCTTCTCACACTCTGTCTCCTTCTGCCACACTTTTCCGCATTAGCTCCGATGGAGCCCGCTTCACAGGTCTGGGACTGGCTGGCAGGCACAGAAAGGCATCGGTTGGTTTCCAAACAGGTAAACTTCTCTAGGCCAAGGGTCTGTAACACCTGAGATGGTGTGCTCGCTGCTTGAACCTTGCTGAACCTTACGCTTGCATACGATTGCCATTGCACTCTCGCTCTAAGTGTAGTTCTCTCTTTCTCCGTCTCTTTCATGTTGTCCTTCTCTCACACTCACTCGAGCCGCTCATGCTGACCCTTGTGTGGGCACTCGGACTCTGCATCCTGTCTTAGCAAAAGCGAATCGCCTCCCCTGCACACTTTGCAGCTAGTGAGCTAGTGCAACGCCGGCGGGGGGGGGGAGGAGGTCAAAAGTCGGGCAGGCAACAAAATGAGAGTTTCGTAGGGATTAAAAACTTTGGCATCGCGTAGGCCTCCCAGGTTCTACTACATTAAAGTCTTCGCAGTCTTTCTTCGCATCCTTGCTTGGGCAAGAACTCCTCCACTTTTACCCAGCTTGTCGTTGCTCAGATCGCCAGAGAGCTGAGGAACGCAGCGAATTGGATCTTGAGATGTTTGCTAAATCCGGCTGCAGGCAGCCTGCCTAAAACTGTGCAGCCCTGTCCTGCAGAATCACTCTGTGCCCTTCTTTTTCTTTGCGAGGTCTCATAAATGCACGGTCACAAGCTCTGTTAGGTCGCCTCTCTCTGCCAGTCATCAAATGAACGCTTCGAGGGGACAGAACCCAAAGAGACATGTCGAACTAGGGAAGTCGTTTTGGCGGTACATTGCTTGCCGTTCATATTGCTAGCATGTTTCGTTGTGGAGTCTGCTGGTCACAGTTCGTTGGAGGGCTTACGCGGAAACTTCTGCAGGAGAGTGCCTCCTCGGTTGAGATTGGTGTCGGCCGAGGATACGGAGGCACCGCCATGATTGATGTTGTACAGGAAGCGCGAGAGGGAGCGAGGGGATAGAGTCGGATAGAGAAAATCCCTGGCCTGAATTCGTTAAGCCTGCTTGAAGAGGAAGGAGGGAAAACTGTTCACATATGAGTATATACACATGTATATATGGTGCACCCCCATGGATCTATCTTTCTGGCCATTTGTACGTGCAGCTTGTCTTCAAGGGCCCCAGGTGACGGTATAGGGTTTAGGGAAGCCTTTGCAAGCCTAACTGAGACAAGGCCTCACCGAACAAGCCAAACTGCAGGCACGTGCAGTTTGTGGCGATGGGTTAAGGGGGAAGGTTTGTGGAAACCTTTGCAAGCTGAGTTGAAAACCTATCCGAAAAACCTAGCCCAAAAAACCCTCACTGAAAAACCTAAGCAAAAATACTGAACTGAACAACCGCAGAGAAGCCTAACAGACCTAAATTCTGGAACGGGACCTCGTACAAGACTCTCAGATTTAAGGCTTTTCTGATTTTGGGTGTGTTTTTGTCAATTAGGTTTTCCGGTGAGTTTTTTCAGTCAGAGTCTTTTCGGTCACGTTTTTGCGGCGAGGTTTTTCAGTTAGGATTGGCATGTACAGTAAGAGCTGTTCTCTGTACAGCTTGCGAAAGCGTCACTAAACCCTACACCCTAACCCATGGTCCTTGAACACAGACCGTATCAGTATCATGCCTTTCGCGATGGTGCGTACTTGAAAACGGGTGGGTATCATGTCCTTGAACGTCTTATTTCGAGATCTTGTGTTTATCGTTTTGGAATTTAACCTAATTTGATTTGACTGCTCGCATGATGCTTAAGTCGCTTAATCAGCATGTAATGCGTTTGAAAGTTGATAGTGGCTCACAGATATTGGTGGTTCATGCATGTTCGATCACAAGACAATGTCGAAATGCTACAGCAATACAACTGGTTGTCAACCAGCGTTTGTTTGGCACTTACCCCTGGACTGCACAACATATCCTCCAAAGTCTGGCAAACTGTCTGGGTATATAACAAGTAAGCAATATTCGACCACACCTTGTCGGGGTTACGTAAACCGCATCTGGGTCACTAATGAATCCTTGGTTCCCAGGTTCGATTTGTTTTGATCCCCTCGTGAATGAGATGAGCCTTAGCTACTGCTTGACTGCTGGTTGTTTCTCATTTGTCTGACTGCAATAATGTAGCTATTCCAGCGTTTGTTGAAGATTGGCTGCTCATGATTATGTTCTATGAGACAAAACGTTATGAAATATTCAACACATGTTTATCCAATAGCAATTTCACATGGAGCTTTAACAGAAGAAACAACATGTGCGCTGTATTTGCTATCTGGGTATCTAGTAACTCATACCTTTGCGCATCACATGGTCTGGAGGTCAACTACTCAACCGTACACTGCGGGCTGCGTAGTAGGTCCACTGGGAGGGGAAATGGAGCAAGGGAAGGTCAATTCCCCGTTGCCCTTGCTTACCGCCATCGCCCTGGCCCCCGCACCACGCTACAATCTACAACGATCTTTTCTACAAACCTAACGATTCGTGCATATTATTATGCATAATATTAACTAATCCCCTTCGTTCATTCCTAAATTCTCTATGTGCTTCTTGGTTTTGTTATGTCG